ATTCTTATAAGCTTTTATGCATGCAAGTGAATTATTGTCCCTTTATGTGATATCAGGGTTCTCTCTTGCTCAAATTTTGTTGCATTTACTTATAGTTGTATATGTTGTGTGGCCCCAATAGAATTTCAGCTTAGTGAGGGTGGGGACTACTGTTTAGTTGTCTTTTTTATCCCTAGTGCGTTCACAGCGTGTCTTGTACGTAGCAGGTATGTAAGAGATGTTTATTGAATTGGATTGAATGCCATTCTCATGCCTTGCTCTGACTTTTAATGTCATCAAAGATGATGATGTCTCAAAGTTCTACTGGGGTTTCATTCTTTAATTTATTCAGTTTATTCAAAAATCTATTTGATATTTGCGATGTTACTAGGCCTCTTTCAAATTATACTGACATTTTAATAAATTTTGAATATAACAAATATTCTTTCAAAGTTGAGCATTGCTAATTTGTCTATTTACTTTTTACATTTCAGTTGTAACTCACATACTAATCACCAGTTTGACAAATTGGTTGTGATATCATGCCAGCTGGTCATATTCAAAGTGTTCACACTGGCTTCAGGAATATTTAAACTATTTTCTACGGTTGAAGATATAATTCTGGCTTTCCACCTTGTGACTTAATTTCTTTGATCATTCCAAGCAAGAGTGAAATAAGTATGGAGAGCTCAGAAAATCTTCATGTCCAGTATTAGAAAGAAAAGAACAAAAATCCAGCGACCTTTGTTGTTCAGTTGTTTTTATTCATGTCTGACTCTTTGTGGCCCCATTTGGGGTTTGTTTTGGGAAATATACTGGAAAGGTTTGACATATCCTTCTCCAGCTCATTTTACAGATGAGGAAGCTGAGACAAGCAGGGTTAAGTTACTTGCCCAGGGTCACATATGTAGTAAGTGTCTGAGGCCAGATTTGAACTCAGGAAGATGAATCTTTCTGACTCTAGGCTCAGAACTCTATCGTATACTGTGCCACCTAGAATCCAGCAAACTTAATTTATTTTAGAACTAGAAAGCAATGTCTTTTGGGTAATATATTTTTACTTTTGGTCATCTGTCATTTTGATTTCAAAATAAATACAGCTTCTTTGGTGGAAACTCCATTCAAAATTGAATACTTGAGTTTATTTTCATGCTTATTTAAAATTCAAATTAATTAGTTCCTTTGAGATAGCTGATCTCTGCTAGCAGTCATTTTCTACTCCCTGTTGATGTTCCCAAATATTCTGTGATAATTATCTGATGGTGGAGGAGTACCAGACTTGGAATCAGGCACACCTGGGTTTGAATTCTCATGAAGACATTTCCTAGCTGTGTGACCTTAGACAAGTTACTTTAACTTCTTTGAGTCGCATTCCCCCTTCTCCACAACCCTTCCCTCAAACAGGGACAATAATAACACATACCTCAGAGGGTTGTTGCTATGAAGGCCAAATGAGACAATGTGTGTGCATCACTTTGCAAGCTTTAAAGTACATTATAAATGTCAACTATTACTGTTATTCTTAGTATTGCCCTCATTCCTCTCATCTTGTATTCAATGGAATTCGCATAGTAACGAAGAGGGGAAAAGTCACTGTCCTAATTATATGGATGAAATGATTGCTTTTTTAGTTGAAAAAAAGTATTGGAATATAAAGTTGAACCTCTGTAAACTCACTGAAAACATCTTTAGTTCATATCCAATGGCAGAAGGATGACAGTAATATCATGTACTTTGTTCTGTCCATACATAGTTTGGATTTCTTCTATTACATCTTTTAATTTCAAGAGCTTTTCATTCCACAGAGGTTGGAGGTTATTGGTATTTGGTATGGTGGAATCTATTTAAAACATTATTCATAAATCTTTATGTGTCAATGACTGTCTGGGTGATTGTCATTATAGTTTTGTCTGTGATGATGTTTCATTTTGAGTACAGTTTATTTTTTAAATTCTTAAGAACATTTTGGAGTTTAAATTTGTAGTATAAGGATTTGTCTTCTGTTATTTCGTGAAAGGTAATAAGCTTCTCATGTATAATCTAGCCAGTTGATTATATCTTCCTAACAATTTGGTAGGTACTAACTTCTTTATGATCTGCAGTGATATATTGCACAATTTCTTTCTCTCTCTCTCTTTCTATCTCTTTGTCACTGTCTCTCTCTCTTTCTCTCTCTCCATCTGTCTCTCTGTCACTGTCTCTTTCTCTTTGCAAAGTGTGCATTATGTCAACAATGCCAAGCTTCTTAGATAACATTTCTATAATTTATGGTTTAAATGATGTGGCTTTGATTTATTTTCATAAATCCTTTCATTTCTGAAAAGAAATCCTTGTGACTCATTGTTGTTATATCATTATCATTTGTTCATGGCATGTTATACAGAACATTTTTTTTCCAACATGGACAGTAAGTCCTTTAGCATTCTTACTATTATGCAATCCAACATATCTGTAGATACAGATAATGGATATCTTAGAATGTGATAAGTTGGGCGTAGTACAGCATACTTGTAAATTGGTACCTGTTACTGGGGAGGCTGAAGCTGTAGAATCTCTTAAGTTCTCAAGTTCAGAATTGCAGTGGATTGTGCTGATTGGTTGCTTGCATTGTTTGGAATCAATATAATGAATCCCTGTGAGTGTGAACCCATCAGGTTAGGGAAGGGGCAAACCAGCCCAGGTCAGAAATAAAACAGGTTGGGGCAGGTAGGTGGCACAGTGGATAGAGCACCAGCCCTGAAGTCAGGAGGACCTGAGTTCAAATCTGGCCTCAGACCAACTACTTGACACTTACTAGCCATGTGACCCTGGGCAGGTCACTTAACCACAATTGCCAAAAAAAAAAAAAAAAAAGAAATAAAACAGGTCAAAAGTCCTGTGCCTATCACTTATTGCATCAGGTCCATCAGTGGCCATTGCATTTCCAGCCTTGTAGAGCTAGGGAATTCAGTCTTTAAAAAAAATATACAGGAATAAACAATAAGCGTGGAACTGAATTGATGGATTTATTCAATGACCAAATAAGGCAATAAACATATCAATGTTTTGGGGTAGCTTTTTCAACAATTATAATATAACCATGCCCATTTTTCTTCAAAATATTTTCAAAAGTCAATTTTTTCATCCATTTTTTTGTCATACATTTCATTATTAGGCAGAATTTCTGGAATTTGTATTACGCAAAGATTTTTAATGACCTCAATTTATTCAGTCACCTTTTAAATTCTTAATAAATCCTCAATTTCAGTTCTTATTCCATCTAACCTAGATTTTCTTACTTCTTATTCCTGACTTTCATTGGTCTGCAGTACATTTTTGTTTGCCTTGTAGCTAAGAGTAATATTAACAAAAAAAAAAATATTAAGCCTTTGCCTCTAACTGATAACATTTTGTTTCTAGTTTTATTATGAGAGTCCTGGAGGATAAATAAAGTTTTCATACCTTTACAACATTTCATGCACTCTCTTGCGCACTGTGGTAGTCAGTGTCGTTTGTATTGAAGCATTTTGGATTTGTTCTACTACTTTGTAGAGAGCACATACAACTGTTGTTTTTTTGTGTCAAGTTGATCATCATAACTGTTTATAAGTAGGACCAGACTAAGCCCTATGTCATGGAATATATGTCTGACTCTTAGACGTAGTTACGTCATACTGATGGGTTTCTAAACCAATCGATACTTTTTTCAAAGTTCAATTTGACAGCATATCAAAATTGATGCTAGGGCACTGCTACCATATTAGTCTCAGGACACTCAAAATACTCAGTGTACATGGTCTTTGCTATCATTTCCCCACTTTGCTGTTGCTCTCACCACCTCATAGCTTGGATTATCAGTCGGGTTTTGATGAAAATAATTAGTAAAATGGAATTTTTGACATGGTAAAAATTAATAATTGATGGAACTATGTTATTAGGACACTAGTCTCTCTTCCTAACCCAGTCTTATACTGTTTTCTCTTTCAGAATTCTTTTCTCTTTCGTGAATGAAACTTTTTACCCCAGTAAAAATCACCAACATTTGAAATCCTCTTAATTCAGTGCATTCTCATTTTACCTACAATCACACTTAGTATTTCAGTATATGTTTACTCTCAGATATCTTCGCAGACACAGCAGTCTCCTTGGATATACATTTTTCACCCTTATTCAGCCAACCCAGAAATTCTCCTCTTCGATTTATTCGTCAGTTGAAAAATCAGAAAAAATTTATACAGTCATATTCCTAAATCAGTCTTGATAGCAGCCTTTCAATTGTGCCAATGAATTATTGAGTGTGACCAAAGTCACTTAGAAGTTAAATAGAGCTTATTACAAGATAGGTTGGTTAAACAACATGGCTGTAGCATATAGTTCTTATAACAATATTTAGTTTTGTTCACACTGCTACTTTAGAGTTTAGGATGCTATCAACACTAGTTATAGAGATAGCTTGATTTCTTTTTCCCATTTGTAAGTGCTTGTTGAAATATAAAAGGCAGGAGATGGATTAAAGCACTTTTATTTAAAACATACACACATATACACAACAAAAACTTTGACATTTTTGTCCCTCAAATTTTTATGTCACAAGATTTACATAGAGATAATTGTGTGTATCTAAGAATTGACAAAGAGAATTCATGGTTATTAGGGTCTGGTGGTAAAACATGAATATTAAAAAAAATTTTGAAAGATCGATATAAATGCATGAAGAATCACTTTAAAAAGAAAATAAATAAGAACTAGCCTACATGGCCAGGTAGTCTTCTAAATCCTAATTTATCTGTAGCCCTTATCCTTTTTTTTAAAATTATTTCAAGTGAGTTGTTAAAAAAATTATCTGTTTAAATAAGGAATTTCAACTTATTTTCTTAAACCTGCTCCTCCAAAAAGTCTTCTGTCCTGTAATCAGTTTTAATTGATTAGCTGATAACCTGGAGTTCAGGTTTTGCCTCATATTTATTAGTACATGAGAGTGGCAGCCCCTCTTCTAAAACTAATGCCCTAGTTCATCTAACATCTGTGTCTATTTGTTTTAGGTGCAGTTTCATTTGTTGCTGAAGAAACAAAACAGAATGATTCAGAGGAGATAAGTAGTGAACAGTCCCTTCAGAAATGGTTATTAGAGGCATCACAAAGTCTGGGTATGGCCAATGCTGATATGTTTATTATTATAGATTATTTTATCATCAGTTTGCATAAGACTCAGCTTTTAGTCACATTGAATGGAATGTTTATATTTTATCTGACAACTTACAGCTCCTTGAATAACACATTCCCGAATATTTTCACACAGAATTTTGTTTTATCCTCTCAAGATTCATTTTTGTATAGTTTAGTATCTTTTTTCTTGTATAATGTCATTAAACTGTTATTACTTTGTAATAATTCACACTAAAGTTAGCCTTCTCTCAAGCCTATAATAAAGCACTAAACATAGTTTTCTGCTATTATTAAGATGCTGATTAGTGGAAGATAAAATATTAATAGGTATTGTATTTTTTTAACTTAAAGAAAGCAAGATGGGGGTATTACCAAAATGATGGAAATGAATATAAAAGATATAGGGTTTTTCCCCCTCATGCCAACAATACTAAATACTTCCATTTAATAACTCCTTGATTGAGCTGCTTTGGTTGAATGTTGCTAAATTCTTTTGCTGCTCTTTCTAGATCTTCCCATTGCTACATAATTCACTTAGCTAACAATCTAATAACTCTTTCAGAGCGTTGAAGTGATCGGCACTACTTCCTTCTTTTACCAGTAATGTGTTCACAGAGTACAGACACAAAGATGAATATATGTAGCTCCTTTTCTATTGATACACGATTGGAATAATTTAAATTTTGATATAGCTGTCATTTAAGTTTAGAAGGGACGTTGTCAAGTAGGAGCTTGCCCAGAGGAACAGATTTAGAATTACAAAGGCATTTGAAACTGTAATGTGATTAATGTTTAAGGAACTAGGAATATTTAGCCTAGAGAAAAAAGGAGATTTAGGTTTACTGCTTTCTACCATCACATGCAAAGGGGTTAGGTAACTAGGATTAAAACTGTAGAGTTGGAAGGGATCCATCTAGTCCAATCCCACTTTTTACAGTTGGGGAAACTGAGATTTATGGAAGTTAAACGGCTAGTTAAAGGTAACACAGGGAGTAAGTATCAGGTGTGGGATTTGAACCCAGACCCTCTAACTCTGGTAGGAATCCTCTTTCCAACAGGCTATATTGTTTACAAGGGTAATATCAGGACCAATGAGTGAACATTTCAAAGGACACTGCTTTTAAATATAGGGAAGAAATATCTAACCAGAAGAACTGTGTAAAATAAAAAATTTTAATGTAGTTAGGTCCCTGCCTTTAAAAGTATCATGAAAAAGGAGGATGACCACTAATTGAGTATGTAATAGAAGTGATTCATTGGTCAGACAGAATATTGGATTTCATATTCTCTAAAGCCCTTTCCAATTCTAATATGACATGATTCTATGAGCCTCTTTCAATATTTCTTTAAGAAATTTCTTTGAAGACTAACTTTTATAGATAATTTTTCGAATTCTATTAGTTTAAAAAACTAATTGGCATACAATACATGGATTTCTTTTGTGTGGCTGTACTTATTCGTATAGGGAAATTATATATTTTTCTTTCAGTAATGTTAGGGTTAGAGGGATGTAGTAGATAATGATCATAATAATAAAAGGGAAGAAAAGGAGAAAGAAAGCATCAATGAGCATAAAAAATTAACAGAAGATGGAAGAACTCCAGAAGGGAGCATATACTTTCCAGATAGTATTGGAATTACTGTACCACCCTCAAAAAAAGGCCCACTAAAGTAGTACACAGTGGAGGTTCATAGTTTCATAAGCAGTCCTCTTTTCCTGTCCTTTGTATAAGGAAATGTTTGTTAAGTTTGTTAAGCTCATATTCCTAAGAATTATTTCATTTAAAAATAATTAATTGGAATAAAGGATGAAAGTTCATCAATTGCACATGTGAGAGTGTTATGTGTCATTGTTTTATTTTTGCCCAGCAGCCAGTTTCTTTCAGTTCAGGCTTCTCAGTTTTTCTCTTCCTTCAGTGACCTGAAGAGAGATTGGAAGTGTCCATCTTCTCTCTTGAAACTGGAAACCAGAAACGTCTGGATCTCTTTTCTCTCTTTCTCTCACCAACTCTACTCACCCCTCATGAAGGTTGACTACTAAATATTAATCAGTCTCTTCCAATGAGGAGAGAGTGCCAGACAATTGGTCCTTTGAACCAAGGATTATGCACAGATGACAAAATGATAGAGGTTTTAGTTGAAGTGGAAAGAAAGTTTGAAAAATTTGAATCTAATAAAAACAATCTAGTACAGAAGAATACAGGATAGGCTCTTTTGAGTGAAATATAAACCTACACAAATGAAAGTGACTACCTTTATGCAAATACAGCTGGAAAAAATCCAAGGATTATGTTGCATCACAAGTTAACTGATGGAGTAGGAAAACCTATATTGCTAACTCATAGTACACCATAATCCCTAAGTCTTTTTCAACTGGAATCATACAACACAAGTTATCCATCATTTATATGAATCATTCTCTGCATTTGTGTGTATATGTAGCAATACAGTAGTACTATTACAAAAATCAGAAAAGTTACCATGATAGTGTAATGGATAAAATGTCTGCTTCTTACATATCATCTGATTCCCCCTTTTCTTGACTAGAATAGTTTTATGAACATAGTAAGCACTCAGTAAGCTATTGCTGGTAGTTGACTAAGGGGGGAAAGTAGTAGCATTTTTAAGTGCCCCTTCTAAGCAAACCATTTTACTGGATACTAAGAATTCAAAGATAGATATAGTATAAATAAGGCTCTCAAGAAACTTAACAGTCTAATGACAAGAGAAGACATGAATATGAATAATTATGAGAGAGGTGCAAAGAAGAATTATAGGAAAAGTGTGATGAGAAATTTGAGGAGGGAGAGATGACTTTCAGCTGAGGGATTCAGGGGAAGGTTTCAGAAATGAGAAGGCCCCTGAAGTAGGCCTGGGAAGAAGGAAGGGGCCTTAATAGTAGTGATATGGTGATTTAGGACCCATTATCAATGTACTGGGGCTGTCATGAGCATAGGAACAATGATCAAAACAGGCAGAAAGAAACAAGGGCAAGGCAAACAGCAATGTTTGGCTGAAATGTACAGTATAGGAATGAAGGTTGAGGACAGATTTTAAATGCCTGGAATGCTAAGTGCAAGAGGTTTATATTTTATCAAGTAGGCAATAGGTTGTCACTAGGGGTTTTTGAGGATGGTGGTGACGTTAAAAAGATTTACTCTTGTGGTGGAAAGAACGATAAACTTGGAGTCAAGTTCAGATACTAACAGTGTAAAAATGGGCAAGTCATCGTACCTTTAATTGCCATCGTTTATCTGTATGGAGGTAATAACTTGTACTGTTTATCTTATCAAGTGGTTGGGAGGAAGAAGCCCCAGAGAAAAGAAATGTTTTAAAAATAATTATTATAAAGAATGGATTGGGAAAGGAGTAGAATGGGAGAAGGAAGACCAATTAGGTGATTATTATAACAGTGTGGTCAAGAAGAAGTGAAGGCCTGAACTAAGGTGGTTGCATTGTAAGTAGGAATGACTCCATGACTTTCTCCAACATTATTCATCAACATGTATATCGAAAAAGAAAAGGAAGGAATAAGTAAGAGCTGGGATTTGGTAAGGCATGCCTAGTAATAAGATAAAAGGGAAGGTATTCAAGGGTAATATGTAATGTTTAGTTGAATTGGTCATCTACCGGGCCAGGATTCCGAAGGAAGACTTGAGGCCAATATAGGTAGGAGTGATGAAATATGAGAATAAGAATAAGTGATGGAACTGGAGGTTGGAGGAGGGATGACAAATGAATTTAAGTAGAGTGAGACAGGGGCTTAGGGGAGGAAGGTAAGCTGTCATTGCATAAGAGAATTTCAGAGTTCTGGATCATATTGGTAGAGGAGTTGTAGATGATGGCTATATAAAAGTTGTAATCATCTCTATGTATGACTGAGATAGAGTAAAGATAGAAGTCATGGAAGTTGATGAAGTAAGATAACTAGGACAGCAGTGTGTTCAGAGGAATCATCAATGAGAATTCTGAAGTTCCCATTGAAAGGAACAGGAATTGAGGTAAAGAGCAACACAATGGTTTGAGTCTTGAATTCCTTGAGAAAAGAGGGAGAATGACCTGGATGCTGCAGATTCATGAGTATGAATGTGGGATAAATGATAAAGATAGAGGAGTTACCCTTGAAAGAGAAGTTGCTGAGTGCTGGTGCTAAAGGGACAGTGTGAAAGTGAAAGAGAGGAGAAAGAACATGTAGTGCTAGAGGGGGTGGTTATGTCTTCTTTCTGGGGAAAACCAGATTGCTGTTATCCCAAGATGGAAGAGTATAACATAAAGAGATCCAGGATAATAGGCAGTTTATCCAGAGTGAGGACTTGAGAGGCTACAAAGAAATGGAAGGGCAGAGGAGGAAAGCTACTCTAAAATGGCATGGCTAAAATAGATGAGTCAAATGTGGTGAGTACCTAGCATGGGAAAAAGGTTTTCCTCTGAACAGACACTGACTCTGAATTAGAAAGAGCACAAGATGGGCACATAGCTGTTCTGGCCTTTGGCTTCAAGCATAATAAATTCCTCTTCATATGATAGCTCTTCATGTAATTCAAGACAGCTATAATATCCTCTTTTAATCTTCCCTATTTCCAGCAACTAAATAAAAAATGGAAAGATTTCAAGATCTCTTCATATTGGAAGTAGACTTTCTTTATATGTCTTCTAGCTTATCAATGCTCTTTATAAAATATGACAACTAGAAATGAACACAATTATCCAGACGTTGTCTAACAAGGGCAGACTGCAGGGGAGCTGGCACTTCTCTGTTCTTGGCACTATGCCTCTCTTATAGTAATCTAAGGTTACATGAGCTTTTTTTTTGGCTTCACTGTCACACAGCTGAATCATGCTGAGCTTGAGCAATAATAACTTTCAGAAAAAAGTATGCTGGAACAAGATTGAGATTACTGGAAAAAAGCTAGAGTTGATTGTTAAATTTTCAGTGTAAGCATTTATACATCAGGGCTTGGCTTATTGTTTTGTGTTTTGC